CAGGGGTGAGCACAGGTGGCCCCGCACCTGGCCTGGCCCCTCCTCTGTGCCCGGCCTCATGCTCTGAAGCCTGGCTGCAGCCCTCAGCCCCCCACTCCTGAGCTGCTTCTTGAGTTCCTGTGCACTCCCCACCTTCTGTTCCCCATGCACGTCCCTTGCCCTCCAGCCACACTGAGCTGCTTTCATGTAGAGCCCCCCTCGCCTCTGCCCCTGCTACTTCCCCCCAAGAACAGTCTCCCCACTATGACTGCTTCATCACTCCCCTGTCCCCGCAGACTGTCTCCGGGGCTCAGCTGTCCCTCTTCAGACCCACTGAAGTACCTGGCACTCTTCCATAAAGCCCCAGTCCATGTATGCATCCTTCATTAACCCATCAGTATTCTCAAAGTGAGGAAGGTTTCGTTATTAAGCCCATTCTGCAGATGTGGACACTGAGGCTCAGAGAAGATAAGTATCTGGCACCGAATTGCACAATTAGTAGGTGGCCTGGGGGATCCACACCAGGCTCCTGAGTGGCCACCGTACCATGCCTACAGATGCTGACAAGTGTGTGTGGAATGCAGGCATGGCCAGCACCCTGCAGCGGGCCAGGCCTAGTCCCTGCCCCTGCACTGACTTTAACAGGCGGTCTCCTACCTTGCTCTCCCACCCTTCAAATCTGCAGCCAGGGGCCAATGGTGGCATGACAGCATTTTGATCCTAGGTCAAAATTCAGGAGAGTAGAAACTGCAAGGGGAATGTCCCTCCATCATGGATTTCAATGTGAGCTACCATCCCAGCAGGCTAATTTCTTATCAAATGTCGGAATCCCGTGGAACATAGCTCACCTTGTCGCCCAGAGGCCCTGCCATGGCCCCCTCCTGTGTCAGGCAACCTGCTGCTTGCCCGGAGCCCACCTCCCATGCCGTTCGGAGCTATGGGGCCGTTGGCCTGGCTGCCCGGAGTGTTCATGTGGGTGGGGATGGGCTCGAAGGTGGGGTCCAGCTCCAGGATCAGCCTGTTGAGTTGCTCAATGGACTGGTCGATGTCCAGGGTGGGCGAGCCTGGGGAGGGGCCCGCACCCAGCTCCGGGCCAGCTCCATTCACGACGGTGTCATCTGGAAACCTGGGTTTGAACGCTTTGCCAGGAGAGGCTTGCTGTGTGTCAGGGGGAGGTGGCCCAGTGCCTATGCCCTTCTGGACAGCCACCCTACTGCTGGTCCCACGGGTGGGGGTGATCGGAACCCCGGGCTGGGCCTGGACAAGGCCAGAACTGTCTGCCAAGCTGCGGCTGATGAGCCTGGCTTCCCCGTCGGGGGCGAAGCTGTACTGATGAGCTGTGACCATCTGCTGCTGGCGCACCCAGGTCTGCGTGGAATAGCTGCTCTGCCCGTAGGCCTGCGTCTGCGCGGACATAGAGGGCTTCCTTGGCAGGGGCTGGGGCTGCCGGGGATGCCGGGGCTCTCGGCTCCCACACGCCCGCTCCCGCTCGTACAAGGGGTCCACACCAAGGCCCAGGTCCGGGGCCAGGGCACCCTGCTGATCTTCACCAGTGCTGCTGCCAAAACCGTCAGACAGGAGGGAGTTCTGGCTGCTCTTGTGGCAGGTGAAGGGGCCCAGGTGGGCTGACTGCGGCCCTTCTGAGGAGGACAGGGTCCCGAGGCTGTCCACACTGTGCAGGTCATGGTGGGGCATCTCATCATCCAGAATGTCCGTCTCCCGGTCCTTCAAAGCAGCATCTCCATTCACATGGACCTGGGCTGGCACTATATGGCGAGTTCCACTGTACTTGCTGCGGGCATCAGTCATGTCCTTGGGGGAGCTCCTGGAGTTTTCCAGGCCAAAGCCACTGAGCAGCTGGTCCAATTCAGCCTTCTCCTGGGGGCTTAGGCCCCTCTTGGTTCCTGGAGTCAGACGCTCTTCAGTCTTGTCAGTCCTGATTGAGGCCGTGGAGTGGCCCGAGTCACTGCTCACTGATAGGGTGTGCTCACCGTGGTCTGGGCTGCTGGTGGCTGGGACAACTGGGGGCCCACCTGGGATGCCAGAATCTGAGGAGCTCTTCTTCCTCACCTTAGCATAAAGGCTGCCATCAACAGGGCCCTGTGTGTGCAGCACTACAGGAGAAAACAGGAGAAAGGCCTTAAGTCAGAGACAAGAGGGAGCATCACTCTCTTACAATGGGCATGTATGTCCATCTAAACAAATAAATGAGCTCATGATATAATCTATAATAAATAGGGACAAATACTCCAAGATCCCAACGTTCTATATCTATACAGATAGTCCCAGACTTAAGATGGCTTGACTTATGATGGCTCGACTTACGATGGCTTGACCTATCATAGTTTGATTTATGATGGTGCAAAAGGGATACATATTCAGTAGAAGCTGTACTTCGAGTACCCATACAACCATTCTGCTTTTCATTTTCAGTACAGTATTCAATACATTACATGAGACATTCAACACTTTATTACAAAATAGATTTTGTGTTAGATGATTTTGCCCAACTGTAGGCTAATGTAAGTGTTCTGAGCACATTTAAAATAGGCTAGGCTAAGCTATGACATTTGGTAGATTAGGTGTATTATATGCATTTTCAACTTATGATGGATTTATCAAGACATAACTCCATCATAAGTTGAGGAGCATCTGAACTCTGGGAAAGCAAATGTCAATAAAAAGAAATTCAAATAATCAAATATCTTCTGGTGCTAGAATCATTTCTACCTGTCCATGCAAAAAAAAAAAAACTGTCATATAGAGCTTTGAAATTCTTCACCCCTTGAAGATCTTGCCTGGAAGGCTCACTGTGAATTCCATCATCATTTTGAGCGGGAAGACCAGCCCAGCTCATAATCCCCAAGGATAGACTGCTTGTCTAAGACACAGGAGAGCGTCCATTCATACGTCTGCCTGACGTTTGCTGAGCACTGGCTATGTGTCAGGTAACAAATTCTATTATATTGAATATCTGATTAACAAATGCCATCCTCTCAGCATTTAGTGATCTGCTAAAATCTAAACACATAACTCAACGAAAGGAGAAAGTGCAGGAATTGATGTTGGCATTCCCATCTAACGTGGTTACTCTGAGCTACGTAGGGCCCAATGATTGTGTCCAGGCCACCAGACACGGAGGCTGATCTACATGCACTGATCGCCATCCATGGAATGTCCGGAAAACAAAAATGAGGCCTGAAATGTGGGCAGGAAGTGCAGAACCCTCTGCTGCTATTATTAATTTCGGCTCTGGCTGCGGTGTTTAGTGACTCCTGAGACCCCATCTGCTGACTGGCAGCCATTAATCACCTCGGCCACATAGGGCACGTCCCAGCCAAGAGCCTCCTAAAATAAGCTGGAGTTGGCAGTTTATCCCTCATGCCACGGGCCTCCCCCACCTCCCTCAACTTTCTCGACTGAAATTGCAGGCATTCCACAACAAGGGAGCTGCCAAGGGCTGGAAACCTACGCTGTTTGGACACCTGGAATTAGAGAGGTGCGAGCCACCACCTCCTGGTGGCGACTGGGCCTGGCCCTGGAGCCGCTCTGGAGGGACCTGCCCTGGGCATATGCCTCACGGCCCCCAGGCTCCAGACTGGTACATTGTCCTGGCAGTGGCTGCTGACTTTTTTGAAAACACTGGGTCTGCATGTCGGAACGAGTCCTGAGAGGTATTGGGTGCTGTGCCGAAATCCCGGCTTCCTTCTCGTTTTAACTGTGCCTGAGAGGCAGTGTACGAAGCAGCGGGAATGGGGGATAGTGAACGCGGGGGACAGCCCAGCCTGGAATGGCCCTGACCTTCACCTTAAAGGAGAGCTTGGGAGGAAGGGCCTAGGAAACGGGAACGATACACAAAATGCTGTGAATAAGCCAAGTCTTCAGGACAGGGCAGCTGGCAACACGAGCGTATGCTGGATCAGGCCGTGGGATTAATCAAGGTAACAGAATCAATGACAGCTACTGCTCACTGAGCACCTATTGCAGGGCAGGCGCCTGGCACAGTTGCTCTGATTTTCACAGGATGGCCTAACTAGCATATTCCTTATTTATCTATAAAGAACTGAGGCTCAGAGAGAATCAACAACTTGCCCAAGGCCAGGCAGCTGCTGGGAGGCAGGGGTGGGCCTAGGTCCCAGGTGTGCTGACCTTGAAGCCTTGTGCTCCTGCTGCCCACGCCACCTACCCACTCAGGGAGTGCCAGGGGGGCACACACCCAAAGGCTCTGTCAGTGGCCCTGCCTGGAAGGAGGTGGCATTGAAGTTACGTCGCTCAGACCAGGGATCAGCAAGTGACCCTTGCTAGGCTATGGCATAGGCAGAGACGGAAAACACGAACTGCACCAGCTCTGTGCAAATTAAACAAAGGGACGCCTGCAACAATGACCCTACATTGCAAGGCACAGCAAGTATCACCTCTACAGTTCCAAACGTGTAAAACGTGATGCATCTGTTGAATCACAAGGGCTTGTGCAGAACAGTCACCCCTTGCTGAAGCTCTGGCACAGATGGACACCAGCTCAAGTCCCAGCTCTACACGGGACCCACCTCCTCAGTTTCTACCAACAGGTGTGTTCACCTTGACCTTCAATCCCAGCTGTAAAATGGGGGTGTGGGTAGATGGTTCTACGTGAGGCTGACCTGAGAATTAAATGACAGAGCACATGGGTGAGTGTCTTTATAGGCCCAGTAAATACCAGTTTAATTTGGATCTGTCCAGATTATCTGTTGCCAGGCAACCTCAACTACTACAAGGCCTGGTAATTCAGTCCTTCTATTCTTCAGAGTGTGAAAAGCAGAAGAGGAGGCGGCGCTGACAAACGTCTTCTGCTCTGCAAGAATCACAGAGACCCCTACCATGATGGAGAGTGCTGACGCCTGTGCGAGCAGCCCCACGCCTGGGTGGGCAGCCGGGGCACAGACTGCGGGGCCACACAGCCAAGGGCACGTGGTGGCTCATTATAGTAACAGATTGCATGCTGCTAAGACTATACATGTATGACTTCCGTGCCCTTCTCCTGAAATCTGAATTAAAATGAACTGGCACAATGACTTAAAAAAAAAAACAAAAAAATCAACCCAAGAATGAGTTGTGAAGAAGTTCCTCTAATTTAAATTGGAATGCTGCCCCAAAGTGCCCATTCATCATTCTTAGGCAGAGTCCTTCAGCTAGCCCCACGCTGAGAATAGTGCGTAAGGAAGGGCCTGTACAAAACGGTAAAGAACAGGACATTCCCTTGGCTGGGGGTTATAAATAACCCTATTTTTACTATTTTTATCAGTAGTAGATATCTTAAAGTAATAATAGAGGCATTAAAAACAGCACCATTTCTGTTACTGTTGACTAAACAATGCCAGGCCCAGTTCTGAGCACTGAGGACGGGGTGTCCTCGAGTCCCCACAGCCTAGGTGTGCGTACGGTGCCTTCTCCAGGGCAGCACAGCCACGGGACAGGGGCCCGATCCAGCCCCACCCAGCACCAAACACCACGCTGGACTCTTCCTAAGCCTGCTACGCACATAATAGCTTTCTAATCAGAAAATGCCCAATAAAAAATCGACAGGAAAGGAACATGAAACAAATCAAGTGAATCCCAAGACAGAACTGCCCCAGTTTCCGAGTCACTCGCAGGAGCAAAGACCTTCCTCAAGGGACGGAGCTCCGGGGAGGCTCACCCAGGGCTCCGCTGACACTCCTCCCACCCAGCACCTACACAATTGTGATCTTGGCAGGGGAGTCGGCTCAGGGAGGGGGACGGAGAAGGGGCCCATCCTGTATTTTGGTCAAGGGTTGCTACTGGGCAAGAAAGAGGACTTGAACTTCAGCAGGACAGTGAGCGCCTAAGTTTCCCTTATCCTCGAAGACGGGATTCCCGTTCTGCCATTTCCTCTGTGTGTGCTCCTGGTCGTGACATTCAGATTGTTCAGCCCCTGCTTCTTCATGTATAAATGGAATGATTATTCTTATCTTTCAACAAAGTCATGAGAACTAAAGAATACACATGCAAACTACCCAGCTCATATTACTGCTACAGCTCTTTCCACAGTGGACAAGGACCAGTGTCCACTCCCTGGTCTCAGCCTGCTCTGTCGCTTCCAGACCACTTTGGGCAGGCATCTGCCCCAGGGCCTTTGCTTCTGCTGCTCTCTGCCTCCAGGCTCTTCATCCCACTTGATCTCTCACCTCCTCAGCATGTGTGTCCCTGACCATCCTTTCTCACTGGGTTCCATTCACAGCATGCACCTCCGTGTGCACACACTGCATGTTCCCCCACTAGGACCTAGGCTCCACGAGGGAAGAAAGGGTTTTGCTGTTTTATTCCTTCTGGTATCTCTAGCATTAGAGAATGGCCTCTGGCACCAACTGGACACTGAGTAACCGAGATACTAAATGTTCTAGCTTATTCTCACACGACAAAACCCAGAGAGCTTTGGAAGAAGCTGAGCTGCCTTAGCAGGCAAAACCAAAAGCAACAACAAAAACCCACCCACCAACAAAAACAAACACACAGACAACCAGTAAGGGTCTGAAGGTGGAAGCTTTGGCCATCTGCAGCCCAGGTGCCTCTGCTCTCTGGGCATCTAAACAGCCCCTCCCCAGACAGCACTGCCGGGCCTGGCCACCCATGAGAGCTGGAGGCAGCGCTGGCCACCGCTACTCACTCACCTGTCATTTTATCTTCAAATATCACAGAACAAAATTGGAAAAGTACCTGATGTCACCTGATCAAAGTGTTCCAAAATTTAGAAGAAAACAAAACTTGTGATCCTGCAGGTTAGCCCCATATGCCCATGGAGCAGGAAGCAGCAGCCAGACATCCAAGGGATGTTTGAACATTGTCTGACCACAGCACACTTGGAACCGGGGTTCCAAAGATGAGTAAGACAGAGCCCTCGTAAACAGCAGGTGCATAATGAACAGCACTTGCTGTTGCTTTTCCAGTCTCCTTTGTCCTGCCACCAGTGTGGAGGTCCCATTGTGCAGACCCACACAGCTCCACGTGGCAGGGCTGGGCCCAAACCACGCCCATCCTCTCACCTGTGCCGCTAGCACCTCTGAGCTGTGTACGTAACAGGGCTGCCTCATCTAAACACGTTTTACTTTCTAAGACCCAG